AAGTTTCAGATGGTACAGGTCTTCTCTCTCTCTGAGTCTCCCTCATGGCTGCTGCCGCCTCCTCCTGGGCAGTCCTTGACTTATATAGCCCTTGTGACCTCATTTACCTGGTCCAATGGAGGCCAGCACCTCTTGGCTGTCAGCCAACCAATTTGAAATACATCACTAGTTGCTGGGCAGACTGGCAGTTCCTAGCTCCCCAGGGAGCAAGCCCCTCACCAAATATGTGATGCCAGTTACGTAGGTAGAGGGAGCAGGTTTCCCCCCTCCCTCAGGAATGTATCCAGTTCAGGTTACCTAAAGAGATAGGGTAAGGTGTGTATCCTCTGCTGGGCCCATCCTAACCAAATTGTTACATAGCAGAGTTTTTGGGGAGAAACAGAGGTGGCCTTCTGCCACAGGCAGGAAGTTTCAAGTGAAGTCCAAAAAAAAGGTCTGCTTTGGGATCAGTGCTGTTCAACATTTTATTAATGATTTAGATGCTGAAACTGAAAACTTTTTAAAGCAATTTTGCAAATGACACAAAACCAGGAAGACTTGCAAATAGGTTGCTGGACAGGATCATGATTCAGAAAGATCTTGACAGATTGGGCAGCAAGGCTGGAGCTAAAAGGATGAAGTTCGGTGCTGACAAATGCAAGGTACTACACCTTGGGAAAAATAATATAAATATCCAAATACAAATACAAATACAAAGTGGTTGACACCTGGCTGAATGGTAACATTGAATGGAGTCTTGGTAGATCACAGACTCAATATGAGACTGCAGTGTGATGCAGCTGCATCAAAAGTGAATGCAGTTTTGGGTACAGAAGTATGGAAGTACTAGGTATAATAGTAGAATAGAAGTATTAGGTGCAAGACATAGGAGGTGATAGTGCCCCTCTACTTGACATTGGTTAGGCCTCATCTAGAGTACTAAGTACAGTTTGCAGCTTCACATTTTAACAAGAGAAGTAAAGAAACTTCAGAAATGGGAAACAAAAAAGATAAAGGGCTTGAAAGGCAGGTCACATTCAGAGCAGTTGAAGGAAATGTTCAGCTTACAGAAAAGGCACTTAAGATGCGACATGATAGCGATCTTCAAGTACCTGAAGGGCTGCTAGAAGGAAGAGGGAGAACACCTTTCCACTCTTGCTATACAGAGTAGGACATGAAGTTGCAGCAAAGTAGGCTTAGATCAGATATCAGGAAAACTTTCCTCACGATTAGAACAATGAAGCAGTGAAATAGATTGCCTAAGGAAGTTATGGACTCTCCATCACTTTAGGTGTTAAAGAAGAGGTTGGACAGTGCAGCAGTGAACCTTGGCCTTGTTATTGTGAGAAGCCTGGCAAGGGCCCTTTAAAAGCATGTTTTTTGAGGGATGGGCACTCAAGGAAGACAAAAGCAGCTTCAAGGGCCTCCAGGGAGAAGCACCAGGTAGTAAGCAGCAAAAGGGGAAGAGATAAGGATTTAAGTTCACGTGAGTTTTGGTTGTGAGTGCCCAGAGAGGTGGTATTTTAGTTGGATTTAAGCAAGTAAAAACCAGAGGACCAGAATCAGTGAAGGGAAATAGAGCCTGCATTGCAGGTACCTTAGAGCACTTTGTGAGTTTAGTTCCCTTCAGGCAAGAAGGCAAGAGAGAAAGAGAGAGAGAATTTAGTCCTTTGAGGCCAAAGGGCCTAGAAGGGGGTCCAGAGACCAGACTGTGGGGCTTAAAGCCACATCCACACACATGCTGTTGAGAAGCCAAGGCCAGAATAAGTGGTCCTATGGCTAAAGGTGCAGCCAAAGTAAGTAAGCTCAGACCAAGAGGGTTGGAGTATACACAAGTTCAAATAGTGGAGCCAGGTGGCCCAAAGGAAAAAAACACTCTAACGCTGGGCACCTCCCATATAATTGGCTATTCCATCAAGACATGGCAGGAAAGACACAGGGCGGCAGTTCAGAAAAGTTGAGGAGGCTAGCTGGCGTCTGGGTGTTGCTCCTGCCCAGAAAGGCTAGTTCTGCCACAACAGGCATTGGTCAGGGATTATCTAGGTGTATCTATTCCTATGTATTTCCCATGCTTCTAGTGTTTGCTGGTTGCTGCATGAGGGTAGAAGATACTTTTCCCCCCTCCTACTGCTACATGTGTTAAGATTTTTTAAAGCCACTCTGCAGAAGCATTGGGTGCTGGCTGAAGCCAAGGCTTGGGATTTTCCCTGGGGTGTGCCAGTAATCCTGTTGGGACTTAAATCCAGAGGTTTCTAGATAAAGACTCTTGTCCCTCTTCTCAGGGTCAGGATGATCACCATATTTGGGGTCAGGAAAGAATTTTACCGTATGGTCATATTGGTATAGATGTTTTGCCTTTCTCTGTAGTGAGGGGCATGGTCCTCTTCTTTGGATCTCTTGATCATATTTTAACAGCCATAGCAGCAGCAGCAATTCTTTAACTGTGTTATGTCTTGTGCTGTGTCAGGATTGACTGCATAGTTTTGCTAAGAGGTTAGATAATAGATTTGTCTTGGATTGTATGGATGGTGGTGGATGATCCTGACTTGGGTTGGTGGTTGGACAGGATGGCCTCTGGCTGTCCCTTCCACACCTACCTCTCCATAATTCTATGACTAACTAACCCAGTCCAACATGAATGCCATAACCACTAGGCCATGTAGTCATGCACACTCTCTCTGACTAAATGAATATTTAATTATTCCACATAAAAACTAACAGTACCTTCCCACAATAGCTTGTAACCTAGTAGTTAGGACCTCATTAGGAAATGAAAAATGCAGGTTCAGTTCTCCTAATGTACAGGAGGAAATTGATCTTCTATTTTCTACATTTTCATTAAGTTCAGAACCACTAAATAAAGGGGGATCCCCATTAACCATATTTTGTTCAGAAGCTAATCTATAAATTGTGTTCTAAGAGTGCTTATCATATCAAAAATCTCATGAAACACAGACAGAAAATGTCCTAGATTATAGAGTTTAGGTTTGCTTAGCTGTTCAGACCTACTCAGACTAAAGTACTTCTGTGTACCAGTTGGAAATGAATGTTAAAAATGTGCCTCCAGGGAAAGTAGCAAAGATTTTGAGGATGTAGGTTTTGGACATAAGCACCTAAATGGAAGGTAGGCAGGACACAGGCACCTTTTTGTAGCTTTAGCACTGAGTATATTCATCTTTTCATAACGCCAGTGAGAATAGTGAGAATTCAGCAGCTCTCAGGAAGAATTCAAGGAATTACAGGAATTTAAGAGGAAGAAAAACCTAAATTATGTGCTAATGACACACTGAGAACCTCTCTAGATGTACAGGTAAAGGTGTGATGGGATTTGATGTGATGCACAGTCCACACAATTTTGCTTCCTGCTATGCCATATATTCATGACAGGAATGTGTGGCACATCAGATCCTATCATCTCCTTTTGCTAGTGCTGGGGGAGCCTGAAATCATAGTCCTGGGCTCCCTTTCCCCAGCAAATAGCAAGCTCCCACAGCTGGGAGCCCCATCAGATGATGTGGGTTGATTCCCACATGATTCATCAGCTGCAGACTCCCAGGCTCAGGGGTATATATGAGTCCCCTGTCTAGCAGCCACAGTCAGCTAACAGGGCTCACAGCCACATGAGCCCATAGTCACATGTTCAATTAATGCTGTGATAGAAAGGAGACACAATGTTATTTCACATATTTTGTAGAATAACTTTGTGGCTTATTCCTCCTTTTTCATGCCATTAATTGATTAAATATGTAGCTGGGTAAAAACTTAAGACATGATTAACTGGTAAATCACATCATAAGTGTAACTTGTGTCAGGGGCTTGATGTAGCTATGCACATTGTAGCAGGATTGGGATTTCATTCTATAAATCAGATGGACAATGTAGCAAATCAGAAGCTACAGAAGGAACAGACAAAACACAAAAACAGCACAAGCAGAGTTGAGGATGACAAGTGGCTTGATGTGACTTTTTACTATTTCTTTTTATGTATTACTCAGACCATTTATTTCAAATGTAAATAACAAGTGCATTCAAATAAATATCACATCAAAAGTAAATTTCCTTTTTAATAGAAGTTAGCCAGAAATACGCACTGCTCATGTGAAAAAAGTATTACTAGAAAGGAACTTCCACATATCAGTTAGTGTTTACTAATGCTCTAAAGATCTTAAAATATTATTTTTCCTGTTTGGAAAAAGAAGTATTTTTCCACTGAATTGATGCTGTAATTATAAATTAACACACACAAAATCCAGGAATGATTCTTTCCAAAAAAAACTATTTCCAGAAAAAATAACTTTTGTACCAATGACTCTTGTTTGGAAACACCTACTGTTTCAGGACTAAATTTTTCCATCAGTTCCATAACACTGGTTACAGATAAGTAGCTTCAAAGGACTGACATAGAATTGTTGACCTCTCTGATGTATCTGTGGTCCAAACCAGCACAACAATGTTGTAAAACATTTCAAACAAATCTTCAGAAGAGGGGGTGTTTCTACTGAAACAGAATATGAATAGCTTAAAAATCATTTTTATTTTTCCTTACTTAGACTGCAAAAAAATTTGAACAGGTCAAAGCCCTGAATGAATCTAACAGTCCATTTGGATGCTAAATATGCTTAAGTCAATAGCACATAAAGGAACAATGTGGCTAGCATCAGATTCAGCTGCCTTTGACTTCTAAGCCTGAATGACCAGATATTTATTTACAAGTGGGTCAAATAAGGGAAGCCTTCAGCACACGTTCAGAAAGGAACCTTAAAAATCACAGTGTCATCCCTTTTACTGGTAATAGTATGACTCCAAATGTATTTATACAGGGTACCTATAGCCATTAACTGCACTCAGTGTATGATCACACAGCTTATTTTAAGTTGCCTAAACATCAGTCATCAACTGGCATTAACAGTCCTACAAGCCATGCAAGGAACCCTTGTAAGTAATTTGGAGTTTGGGAGGGGCAGGTGGGAATAGGAGAGTTAAGCACCAGAACATAGGCAGTCTTGCCTGGGATTAGTTACCTGAAGTACAGATGTACCCAAGACTGGTTTCCCACAGAGCTGGTTTCCCAGGGATTCCAGAGTGGTCTGCTGTCAGAACTGAATTCAGAAGCTATTGATAAAGTCAGACAAGTTGGGGTCAGAAGCTAAAGCCAGAGAAAAGGTAACCCAAGAGTTAACCAGGATCAGAAGTCAGAATCAAAGGTCAAACCAGAATCACAAGTAGAGAACCTGAGTCATGGAATGCCTAGTCTTATCAGAGTCTGAAGCTGAAGTTAGAACTGAGTCAAACCAGGAGAACAGCAAGGAAGCACCTAGAGGGTCTGGAAAAAAAACTGTTGCTTGTGCCCAGATAAAGAGAGTGTGGGTGGGTCTGGCTTTTAAAGGATGAAGTGGATGGGGCCTGCTGCTTGTGGCTTGCTTGCCCTGATTGACTCCCTCTGTCCAGCTGGGACCAGGGTGCTGCTCTGGGATTGCTGCAGGTGATGCTTGTTCTGGGCATGACCTGGCCTGATCTGTTGATTGGGACTGGCTGAGTCTAGATTCTGGCCTGGTCTCATTACAGGGTGGGGTGGGGAGAGTTTAGCAGGTCCAAATGTGGGGAGGTTGGCAGAGCTGGGAGGGCTGGCGGGTCCATGGGGATTGTGGCAGAGCACTTTTGGTGCCTAGCACTTTAAGGGCTGAGAGCAGTCGGCAGATGCAGGCCAGCCCTGATGTGGCAGTCACAGGACCTCAGAAGAGCTCTGTGATTATAGTAGAGAACTGAGCAGCCTCCATTTTAGCTCAGGCCCTCGGCTAAGACAGCAGTTTGCTGGCTGCAGCTGTAGGCAGAACATTGCTGGGAGGTAAGGGCAGGAGCTATGGGTATGAGAGGAGGCTCCTGGTCCTGGGTATGACCAAAAACTGCACCTGCTGGGGAAGGATGGCTTGGTGGGCAGTGCTCCAGAAATGCCAGGCCAGTTTCCTCCCCAGTCAAGGCAGGTAGGGGTGCCTTATAACCCCAGCCCACATCCTGATGGGTCACCCAGATCTAAAGACAGGCACAGGGGCCAGGTTCATCTACAGACACCTGAGCCCTGTGGGGTGTAAGACCCCAAAGGCCCCAATGAGGGGGAGCAGAGAGATAGAGTGGCCCCAGCCAGTGTGGGGGCAGAAGTCTGTATCGTGGCCCCCACAAAGTAGAGTGCACCATTGCAGCCTGAAGGACTGTGTGTTAAGGTATAGAATAGGGTTGCAAGGAAGACCTAAAAGGCTGCACTGGGGATGTGTTGAGTAGGACTGTACAGGCAGCCTGAAGGGCACCACATGGGCCAACCCCCATAAGAATATGAACTTATGAAGTTGCCTGGAGAGGGATTAGGAGCAGAGTCAGCCCAGTGAGAGGCACAAGGCCAGTGCCACATAGAGTAAGGTTCCTCAAATGACCTGAAGGGCTCTGTGTGGACTGGCTGGAATGGGAGAAGTTAAGCATGATGGCCCAAGGGGGTTGCTCATGGAGCAGGGTGGGTTGAGAGTGACCCAGTGAGGGGAAGTGTAAAAGAGGCCCTGTGAGAGAGGGTGGTATGAAAGAGACCCCGTGAAAGGCAGAGTGTGTGAGGTGAATGTTAGGGACCCTACAAGGGGTAAAGTTTGGCTCAGCCATAAACCAAAGCTATTACCAACTTATGATGCCATCTGAGAGGCATGTGACATATGGTAAAGGAAGGTTAGAGCCATGTGTAATGCCCTTGGCATCAGCCTCCCACACCTTACATTCATTTTATTAAACAACAAGTCATGGCAGGATATGCAAGGCTGACTGTCCTAGACAGAGGGGCAGGCCACTGTTAAGATCTGGTCCTGACTTGGCCCCCCGGAGGGTCACAGGAGGGTTGGTGGGTATTTGGGGAAAGGGGTCTGGGGCTAAAAATATCCCCATCAGTGTCAATGGGGGTGGGAAAAGCTCAGCCCCAGAACTGGGAGGAGTGGCTGGGCTTTCCCAGCCCCAGGGATGCTCTGCAAATGTGTGCAGGTGTTCATGAGATTAGTGTCAGGATATCACAGGATACGGACGTTGGGCCCTGCGTCCTGATGACATCCACTTGTCTTGCTTGTACCAGGGCAGGCGTCAGTCAGCAAACTTTGGTCAGACTTCTTCTCCACTATCTTTCCTGCCATGACTTTGATGATTTGATTAAATTTGGGAGGACGGCGGTTTCCTGACCCAAAGCCGACTGCCACTTATTCAGATGGAAGGTGTGGCCACATACAAAAAAAAAAAAAAAGAAAACTCAAAAATCCTGACAGTGTCTTCTCATTCTCCTTCTCTCTTTCTCTCTGCCCACAGTTCGGGATCTCTGGGCTGTCTCTCCTTCCCTGTTCACCTTCTGGGGCTATCAATCATGACTCCAGCAATCGAGCGATTTTTTTATTTTTTTTTTCTTCTGCTCCCCACTAATTGCTGTCCCACTGACTTAATGGAGCACCAGCCTTAAGCAATTATCATGGAGCCGGGGTTTCCTCTCTATGACTCTCTCTTTTTTTAGTCTGAGCTCCTCCAAGCTCTGAAAACCCAATCGGTCTGTTGCCCCATTCCTGGGGACTTCAGTCCTGGCCAGCAGGTGGGGTTTTCCCTCGCTGCCAACCCCTCTTCCTCTCTTTTACTTCTTTTCTTGTTGCTGGCACCCACCACTGGAAATGGCTCCCAGCAGCATAGTTAAACCAATTAGGTTCACCCGGTGAGCTGATAAGGCTCTGCTGGAGTGAAACAGGAGATCCCTCTGGAGCTAGGTTGGGCTGCAATGGCTGAACAGATCTCTTCAGTTGGGGCCCCCCTCAAAGCAGGTACCCCCAACCATTCCACAGTTAGGTTAACTGTTTCTCAGACTGAGTTAACTCAATCTCGATCTAAGTTAGTGCACCTCTTTAGATGAAATAACTTAGATCAGGTGTGCCATTTTTGGGAGATTTAAGACTTCTAAATAACTACATGATTGGGCATTTAGACTGACCTAACCTCTTGTTAGGTTGATCTAAACGGAACATCTGTATGTACCCTCAGTGGATGAAAGCTGGCAACAAAACACACTGAACCAAATGCATGGTTTAAGACTGCTCTAGGTATAGGACTGATATTGTTCATTTATTAAATTACTACAGGTTTGGGAAACCATTTCCACAGAGATGCACAGTGTGGCTGATATGAATGATTTGGTCTGAGGCAGAGATACATCCCTCAGATTGATTTCCATTGCCTTGCCCATCCTAGAGATTGATAGGCAAAGAATACTAATTACACATCCATATATATGCACACACATCACACATAATCATTCCTATCTAGCAGTAGCTATCAGTTTTAGCATTTTTTCTCAGATACCATTAAGTGGTCCATGTGTGCAAAATATTTTTCAAGTTGACTTATTTCTCAAGAGACATAACCACGCCTATGCTTCCTGACATAAATACATATGTTTTCTCAGCTATGCAGTGTTCTAAAAGAATACAAATAAGGCAATGCCCTTGCAGTGTGTTTTCTTCACTCTACAGTTTAATTACGCAGGGTTCATGTTTCCCTCTTCTATCCAGTAAATCATGTTCTTTATTCATTAATTAGTGGCACCAATTAATAGTATTGAATTACTTCTCATGGTTTGTGACAAAAATTCCCTGCAAAATGCTCACATGCAGTAATATAATCACCTTAGTATTCAAACCTTGGCACAGGCTACAACCTCCAGCAGGTCTTACTTACCAGCATTACCTTATACTTGGTAGGAGCCATCCGTGAGACACTAGATGCCTCTGTATTTGCTCAGTTTTTAAAGCCTGATTTCAGAAGAGATAAGTCATCAGTTCAGGTACTTCATTTGTAAATTGAAACACAATTTAACAAGCAGGTTTGAATATTTCTATTTATGTTTTTACAAACATAAAAGAAGAAAGACATTTCATAAAAGCTAATCTACAAGGAATTTAGTAGTGTATTGCCTCCTCATGTAACGGGTCTATAGAATGGTTGGTATACAGTAAAACTAGCATGCTATATAGTTTTATAACCTCTACAGAATATAACCCATTAATAAGAAATGATTAATAATTTTCTTATTGTTTAGAGTCACTTTCTGATAGTGCTTCTGTTATAAACAAAGAGGGGGAAAGTAGATGAGGAGTTGATTATTTTAATGGATACATAATTGTTCATTAATTAACATTCTGCCCCGAGTCCAGGCAGATTTTTTCTTCTGTCTGTTCCTACACAGTAACACTATTTTCTATTTCTTGGGCCCATTCCTGTTGTTTTCTCAGCTCATCATTTTTGTATGTAATCATCTTTCAGAATACAGTATGATAATCTGTATGTTTATGAATATGCTATGTACAGCTATCAGTTCTCTGCACCAGTGTACAATGTTATGAGAAGTAAAGAATAAACATTGTGAAAATGATATAACACAGCCAGGGCATGTCCTGGAGATTTCACTCCCCTGGAGCCATATCGTGTCTAAATCAGTGTACAGATTTTCAGTAAATGGCACAGTTGGCTTGGTTTGATTTTGTTTAGCTTGTCTTTAGTTGTAATGGGAATCCAGAATATATATTTGGTTCCCCTTCACCCAAAACTAAACTGTTGCTGAACATAACAGTAAAATTTCCACAGATATCCTATGTAACAGCAGAAAAATATTTTTGATATTTCTCTTGAGCTAACATCTCTATCAAGAGAGACACTGGAACTTTCTTTAACTTAACTGACCGAAGCCCCTTATTACTTTGAATAGTATATATTTCCTAAATTCTGAAATACTTTCTAGAGTTGCAATTTAAAAGTCTTGTTCTACTTTTAAAATTCTGTAAAAATGGCACTTTCATCCTCCGTAGAGCTATTGCTTGTGTGTAATAGATCATAACTATATACTTCTTACCTGTTAAAGTATCACAGAGTCAATACATGCATGAAAAATAGGATGGATTCTTATGCATATTGTGCATTCTTAATAAAATTGTCTCCTAGATTCTCACTAGTTACACTTGTGCAGATGCAGGGCAGTCAGTGACAATGCACAGATACCCAAGAACATAGTTTGGCTTTATTACTGGGGAAGACTTGCAAGAAATAAAGTTATGTAGCTCAGCTATCAGGCCTCAGGATGAGCCTGTTGACCCAAGCAGGACTGACAAACAAATGTAGAACCTTGTGGTATTATTTTTAGAAACTCAGTTTCCAGGCCTACTCTTTAAAGTGCTGTTACTGCTGAACAAGTTATCAATGTCTACATTAACTTTAATGAAAGGTTGGTGATTTTTCCCCCCCACCTGTAATACTAAATACTAAAGTAAATATACGATTAACTTGTTAA